ATAGAATAGAATAGAATAGAATAGAATAGAATAGAATAGAATAGAATAGAATAGAATTAAGGAATAGGATAGAATAGAATAGAACCGAATAGAACCGAATAGAGTAGAGTAGAGTAGAGACGAGTAGAGTAGAGTAGAGTAGAATTAAGGAATAGAATAGAATAGAATAGAATAGAATAGAATAGAATAGAATAGAATAGAATAGAATAGAATACAATATAGAATACAATATAGAATAGAAGAATAGAATAGAATAGAACAGAATAATAAAATAGAATATAGAATAGAATAATAATAGAATAGAATAGAATAGAATAGAATAGAATAGAATATAGAAGAGAACAAAATATAGAATAGAATATAGAATAGAAGAATCGAAGAGAATAGAATAGAATAATAAAATAGAATATGGAATAAAATAGAATCAAATCGAATCGAGAATATGGAATAGAATAGAAGAGAATATAGAAGAGAGAATATAGAATACAATATAGAATAGAAGTATCGAAGAGAATAGAATAGAATAATAAAATAGAATATAGAATAGAACAGAATAATAAGAATAGAATAGAATAGAATAGAATAGAATAGAATAGAATAGAATAGAATAAAGGAATAGGATAGAATAGAATAATAATAGAATAGAATAGAGAATAGAAGAACAGAACAGAACATCCTGTCGTTGCTTCAGCCGAGGCCCGGAGGGGGAAAGAAGCCGCTCATGAGACCCCCCTCTTCTCCCTCGCAGGTTCTCCGTCTTCGGTCTGGGCTCCCGGGCGTACCCCCACTTCTGCGCCTTCGCCCACGCGGTGGACACCCGGCTGGAGGAGCTGGGCGGGGAGCGGATCCTGCCGCTGGGCGAGGGGGACGAGCTGTGCGGCCAGGAGGAGTCCTTCCGCACCTGGGCCTCCAGCGTCTTCAAGGTGGGGCTGGGGGCAGAATCGGGCCCTCCCCCGGCGCCCCCCCATGCCACCCCCTCCCTCTTCTTCAGAAGCAGCCAGATGTTCCCGCTATAAGGCCTCCGGGCCTTTCCCCATCTCCTTTGCAAGGGCGCCGCTGTCCTCCGGTGGCCAGTGTCATTCAGGCGGTCCTCTACTACTTAACGACCGAGAGTTCCGTCGCTAAGTGAGGCCTTTGCGAAACGGGTTCCTGACCCCCGGTTCTACGGCCTTTCTCGCCGTGGCGGTTAAACGGATGGCGGCAATTGTTACGTTAGCGACACGGCTCTCCCCTCCCCCCCTTCGCTTCGCTCGTCGCGAAAGGGGGAAATCGCGTGACCCCGGGAGGCCACGACCATCGTAAGTAACAGGCAGTTCTCGAGTTGCAACAGTTCACTCAGAGACTTTTCCGAGTCTGCGATTCTGTAACGGTCTTCTGCTCGAGCGGGGGGGGGGTTTGGACTAGATGACCTCCGAGGTCCCTTCCCACTCTGTGATTCTGTAAGGGTCTCCTTCTTGAGCTGAGGGTTGGTCTAGATGACCTCTGAGGTCATTTCGAACGCTCTTATTCTGTAAGGGTCTCCTGCGTGAGCAGGGGGTTGGACTAGATGACCTCCGAGGTCCCTTTGAATTCTCTTATTCGGCGAGGGTCCCCTGCTTGAGAAGGGGGTTGGACTAGATGACCTCCGAGGTCCCTTCCAACTCTGTGAGCCTGTTATTCTACAAGGGTCCCCTGCTGAAGTGGGAGTTGGACTAGACGACCTCCGAGGTCCCTTTGAACTCTCTCGTTCTGTGAGGAGCTCCTGCTTGAGAAGGGGGTTGGACTAGATGACCTCTGAGGCCCCTTTGAACGCTCTTATTCTGCTCAAGTGGGGGTTGGACTAGATGACCTCCAAGGTCCCTTTGAACTCTTGTTGTTCTGTAAGGGTCTCCCGCTTGAGCAGGGGCTTGGGCTAGATGACCTCCGAGGTCCCTTCCAACTCTGCCATTCCGTAAGGGTCTCCTCCTTGAGCAGGGGGCTGGACTAGCTGACCTCCCTCACCTCTGTCTAGTAAGCGAGACCGGTTGGTTTTAAGTGAGTTTTGCCCCCTTTGGCCACTCCCTTGCCGCCGGTCGCTTTCTCCAGGGCCGTCGGCACTCGGGATGGACACGAAATGCACCGTCGTAAGTCGAGGACTGCCTGTTATCACATCCGGAGTGATAACCTCCATGTTTTTTTCCCCCCGCAGGCCGCCTGCGACACCTTCTGCGTCGCATCGGACACCGTCTCCGCCGAGGTTTTCTCCGCCCGCTCCAGCTGGAAGCGCAACCGGCACCGGGTCCTGGCCCACCCCAGCGTCACCTTTGACCTCCTGGCAGGTAGAAGGGCGGGGCATCCCCCCCTCCCTCGCCCGCCCAATTCGTCTCCTCCGATTGGCTGGTTGTTGTTTTTTTTCCCGCCAACGACCGATGGAAAACTGGTCCAACACAAGCAGCAGTGCGCGGAGCTGAGTTTCTGCGAGGGCCGTGCGCCGCGTGCACACAACCCTCCCCGCTTCCCCCACGACTCCACTGCTACCGGTCCGCACATGCGAAGGTGTGGAGGTGTATTTGTGCAACTGGCGCACACACGAAACCAGCTCCACTGCCCCCTCTCTGCCATTGCTGGTCCACACAAACGAGTGTGTGTTGACGTATTTGTGCAACTGGCACACACACGAAACCAGCTCCACTGCCCCCTCTCTGCCGTTGCTGGTCCACACAAACGAGTGTGTGTCGATGTATTTGTGCAACTGGCACACACACGAAACCAGCTCCACTCCTTCCTCTCCGCCATTGCTGGTCCCCACAGAGTGTGTGTTGACGTATTTTTGCAACTGGCACACACAAGAAACCAGCTGCACTGCCCCCTCTCCGCCGTTCCTGGTCCACACATACAAGTGTGTGGAGGTGTATTTGTGCCGCTGAGATCGGGCGGAGCTCGCCTTACTTCTCCCTCTGGAGAAGAGTCCGCAACCCCTGGGCCACAATCACGTACCGGTCCGTGACCGATTGGGAACCGGTCCACACAAGCAGCAGTGCACGGAGCTGAATTTGTGCAAGTGCTGCTCGCACACAACCCTCCACGCTCCCCCACTACTCCACTGCTGCCGGTCCACACATGCAACAGTGTGGAGATATATTTGTGCTACTGGCGCACGCACAAGACCATCTCCACTCCTCCCTCTCCGCCGTTGCTGGTCCACACCTGCAAGGGCGTGGAGCTGGATTTGTGCAAGTGGCACACACACAAAACCGTCCCCTTTCCTCCTCCCTCCGCCGTTCCTGGTCGACACATACGAGTGTGTGATGTATTTGTGCAAGTGGCGCACACACAAAACCCTCCCCTCTCCCCCCCACTCTGCCATTCCTGGCCCACACAAGTGTGTGGAGGTGTGCTTCTCCCTCTTGAGAAGGGTCTGCAACGTCTGGGCCACAATCACGTACCGGTCCACGACCTATGGGAAACCGGTCCAACACAAGCAGCAGTGCGCGGAGCTGAGTTTGTGCGAGTGCTGCGTGCACACAACCCTCCCCGCTCCCCTCACTACTCCACTGCTGCTGGTCCGCACAAGCAAGGGTGTGGAGTTGTATTTGTGCAACTGGCGCATGCACAAAACCATCTCCACTCCTCCCTCTCTGCTGTTCCTGGTCCACACATACGAGTGTGTGTGGAGATGTATTTGTGCAAGTGGCTCACACACAAAACCCTCCCCTCTCCCCTGCCCACTCCACCGCTGCCGGTCCGCACATGTGAGGGCATGGTGTTGTATTTGTGCAAATGACACACACACACAAAACCGTCCCCTCTCCCCCTCCTCCGCCGTTGCTGGTCCACACAGGCAAACACGCGGAACTGAATTTGTGCAAGTGGCACGGGCGCACAAAACCATCTGCGCTCCTCTCTCTCTCTCCGCTGTTCCCAGTCCACACGTACGAGTGTTTGTGCAAGTGGCGCACACACAAAACCCTCCCCTCTCCCCCCCTCTCCACAGTTCCTGGTCCACACACACGAGTGTGCGGAGGTGTATTTGTGCAAGTTGCACATGCCCAAAACCGTCCCCCTTCCACCGCCACCGGTCCACACATGCCAGCCCGCGGAGTTGTGTTTGTGTGAGTGGCACACACACACACAAAACCCTCCCCTCTCATCCCCGCGTCTGCTGTCGCCAGTCCGCAGCATGGGAAAAGTCGGACACCGCTGACTTGGGAGCATCCAGACGTTGCAAGGCACCCCAACTCTTCCATAAATGGAAACAGGCCATTGTGTGTGTGTGTGTGTGTAGGTGTGTAGGTGTGTTTGTGTGTTTGTGTTATTAAGGGTCCCCCCACCCCGAAAGCTCCTGAACGGCGATGCCAAGCAGTATCCTGTGTGTCCTCTCCCAGCGAGGGTCACGCGTGTGCCCCCTTCCTCAAATATGCCACAAATGGGGCTCCCCTCTTTTATTGCTGAAATGTGGGGGGGCAGAATGCATAACCCCCCCACTTGCCCAGCTGAACCACCATCTTTTCTCTCCCCCTCCCCTTCTCCCCCAGATCTGACGAAGATGCATAAACGGAAGGTGTTCCCCTGCTACGTCATTTCGGTCACAAATCTGCAGAGCTCCGATTCCGGGTGAGGGTCCTCTGGGGGGCGGCGGAGGAGGAGGAGCCCCCCTCCTGTGGGGTGGGGAGGGTCCCTCCTGAATGCCGTGCTCCCCCCCACAATCCCCTCCCTTCCACTCCCCCCGGGACCGAGCTTCAACTCCATCAGGACAGAGTGAGTCCTCGACGTACGAGGGACAACGACGTCGGTAAACACGACGTTTCTCCCGTGCGTTTTGCCCCCTACGACGGCCTTCCTCCCCACGGTCGTGCGGCAGATCCCTGCCATGGGAAGGTCGCACGAGGGGATCGGGGGGAACACACACACCCCCTCGGGGATGCCGCGACCGTCGTAAGTACGAGTCGGTTGCTAAGTGCACGGATTTTGATCGCGGGAGGCCGTCAGGGTGAAAAAAAGAATCCTAAGTCAATTTTTTCAGTAATTTGGGACGGTCACTAAGTGAACTGGTGTAAGTCAAGGCCTCCCTGTGTTTCGTCCGGGTCTCCTGCCGCCCGAGAGTTGAGGGGCACCCTTTGAGGCCATGTAGTTCACCCTTTGCTCAGGGCGGGGGTCCCAACGGATGGAGTAGAATGGAAAAGAATAGAATAAAAATAATGAGAGAAGAGCAGAAGAATAAGAATAGAATAGAATAGAATACTACTACTAATAGAATAATAGAATAAAAAGAATAGAATAGAATAGAATAGAATAGAATAGAATAGAATAGAATAGAATAGAATAGAATAGAATAGAATAGAACAGAATAGAACAGAACCACAGAGCTGGAAGGGACCTCGCAGGTCATCTAGTCCCACCCCGCCTCCCCAACGCCATCTCTCTCTCTGAGGGTCCCGTGCCGGGGAGCAGAGCCGTGGCACCCCTCTTGGCCGTGGATTCAGATGGGGATGTGTGTGTGTGTGGGGGGGTCCCTCCACAGCCTCTGGGGGGGCCCTGGGGGGGCTCCACCCTCACTGACGGCTTCCCTCCCCCCTACCCCCCCAGCCGCTCCACCCTCCTGGTGCGCCTGCAGACGGGAGACCAAGCGGAGCTACAGTACCAGCCGGGCGACCACGTCAGCATCTTCCCGGCCAACCGGGCGCCGCTGGTGGAGGCGCTCATGCGCCTGGTCCAGGACCCCCCGCCGGCCGAGGAGCCCGTCGCCGTGGAGACCCTGGAGGCGGGCACCGAGGGTGAGAACCCGGGGAGGGGTGGGTGGGTGGGGGCCGCTGAGTCCTGGGGGGGCGGAGAGCAGAGCCCCCTCCCGCACACCTGGAGAGCGGCACTCCAGGTATGGTAGGAATCCCCCCCAAAATACTACTACTACTACTACTACTACTACTACTACTACTACTACTACTACTAATAATAATAATAATAGTAGTAGTAGTAGTAGTAAAGTTGGAAGGGACCTCAGAGGTCATCTAATCCAACCCGTCGTAAAATACGACCCAATATGTCGCGCCGGTCGTAAGCGTGAACAACGGCCTGGATCGGTCCCTTTTTTTTCCACTGGGGTTGTAAGTCAGACCGTAGGTCACTAAATAAATCTGTCGTAAATCGAGGACGGCCTGGATCGGTTTGGGGCGCGATCCATTGACGCTCTCGCCCGTTCCGTCTGTCGCAGGGGTGAAGCGGATGTGGGTGCCCAGCTCCCGGTTGCCCCCCTGCACCCTGCGCCAGGCGCTGACCTACTTCCTGGATATCACCACGGCCCCCAGCCCCCAGATGCTCCAGCTGCTGGCCGGCCTGGCCGAGGACCGGACGGAGCGGGAGAAGCTGCAGCGGCTCAGCCAGGTAGGAGGAGGGGGGACGCGTCCGAATCGAGGATCGCCAAGCGGGAAGGGGACCCGTAGGTCCTCTAGTCGGACCCTCTGCTCGAGCAGGAGACCCTTACAGAATTACAAAATCACAGAGTTGGGACCTTGGAGATCATCCAGTCCGACCCCTGTTCGAGCAGGAGACCCTCCCAGAATTTCATAGATGGACAGAGCTGGAAGGGATCTTGGAGGTCATCTAGTCCGATCTCAAAGGAGTATCTGTATTTTGTCTGAATGAAGCCCAACCCCTCTTGAGGTTCCCTTTTAGGGACACCCCTTACAAAAGCCCCCCGGTGCCCATCCCAGGGTCAGCTGGGCTTCATTTTTGCTGTTTTTACTACTATGCCCCATGCTGAGTGCCCATCCTTGTGCCCCCAGGACTCCCTACTCTACGAAGAGTGGAAGTGGTTCCGGTGCCCGACGGTGGTCGAACTGTTGGAGGAGTTCCCCTCGGTGGCGCTGCCCACCTCGCTGCTGCTCACCCAGCTGCCCCTACTACAGGCCCGCCAGTACTCCGTTAGCTCCGCGCCCGACACCCATCCGGGGGAGCTGCACCTCACCGTAGCCGTGCTAAACTATCGCAGTCAGGGTGAGTGGACAGGAAGATATCAGGGCGCCTCGGAGGGAGGCCAGCCAGTGTCTCCAGGCTGTGTGGGTCTATAATTCACCGTGGCTAACTCGGCACGAGTAACTCACCACGGCCATCTAGCTAGGGGCAACTTGCTACGGGTAACTCGCTGTGGGACTACTCACTGCGGGATAACTCGCTGAGGGATAATTCGCTGAGGGATAACTCACTGTGGGATAACTACCTGTGGGATAACTCGCTGAGGGATAATTCACTATGGGAGAACTCGCTGAGGGATAATTCGCTGAGGGATAACTCGCTGAGGTATAACTCACTGTGGGATAACTCACTGAGGGATAACTCACTACGGGAGAACTCGCTGAGGGATAACTCGCTGTGGGATAACTCGCTGAGGGAGAAGTCGCTGAGGGATAACTCGCTGTGGGATAACTCGCTGTGGGACAACTCGCTATGGGAGAACTCACTGTGGGAGAATTCGCTGTGGGATAACTCGCACAGGGATAACTCGCTGAGGGAGAACTCGCTGAGGGAGAAACCGCTGTGGGAGAATTCGCTGTGGGATAACTCGCAGAGGGATAACTCACTACGAGATAACTCGCTGTGAGATAACTCGCAGAGGGATAACTCACTACGGGATAACTCGCTGTGAGATAACTCACTGTGGGATAACTCACTACGGGAGAACTCGCTGAGGGATAACTCACTGTGGGATAACTCACTACGGGATAACTCACTGTGGGATAACTCACTACGGGATAACTCGCTGTGAGATAACTCACTGTGGGATAACTTGCTGAGGGATAACTCACTGTGGGATAACTCGCTGAGGGATAACTCACTGTGGGATAACTCACTACGGGATAACTCGCTGAGGGATAACTCACTGTGGGATAACTCACTACGGGATAACTCACTGTGGGATAACTCGCTGAGGGATAACTCACTGTGGGATAACTCACTGTGAGATAACTCGCTGAGGGAGAAGTCGCTGAGGGAGAAGTCGCTGAGGGAGAAGTCGCTGAGGGATAACTCACTGTGGGATAACTCACTGTGGGATAACTCGCTGAGGGAGAAGTCGCTGAGGGACAACTTGATGCGGGAGAAGTCACTGCGGACAACTCGCTACAGGACAAGTTGCTGTAGAAAACTTGCTATGAGAGAACGCGCTGTGGGAGAACGCGCTGCGGCCAACTCGCTGCGGTGAATTGTCTGAAGGAAAACTTACTACAGACAACTCCCTTTGAGACAACTTGTTGTGGGACAACATTTAACACTAACATCAAAAAAATGGTGGCATAAACTCATTTAAGAAAGAATGCCAAAGGAGGGCCCAAATGAATTGCGAATGATGAACATTAAAACAATCTTTTATTTGTTTTAAGAAATTAAATTGAGTCGTTAAATTGTCCCGCGGCGAGTTGGCTGCGGCGAGAGCTGGCGGGTGGAAGGCAACTCCGTGGGGCTCACCGTGGTGTTTCCGTTTTGCCCCCTAGATGGGAAGGGCCCCATGCACTACGGAGTCTGCTCCACGTGGCTGTCCCAGCTCTCTCCGGGCGAGATGGTGCCAGCTTTCGTCCGAAGGTAAGGAACTTCCAGATGGGTATCGGAGTCCTGGGGCGTCCTTTTCTCTCTCGAACACATCTTTCGAGGGGGATTCCACTGATTGGGGGGGGGCTCTGTTTTTGAAGCAGTTGCTCCCCCCCCGAGATACAGGTAGTCCTCAACTTACAAGCGCAATTGGGTCCAACAAATCCGTTGCTAAGTAAGAAAATTGTTGTTAGTTTTGACTTAAAACTGGACTAGGAGTTGGACTAGATCATCTCTAAGGTCCCTTACAACACTGTGATTCTGTAAAGGTTAGGGTTAGGGTTAGGGTTACAATCTAGTCCTACCCCCTGCTCGAGCAGGAGACCTTTACAGAATCATAGAATGACAGAGCTGGACGGGACCTCAGAGGTCATTTAGTCCAACCACCCAGCTCAAGCAGGAGACCCTTACAGAATCATAGAATGACAGGGCTGGAAGGGACCTCGGAGGTCATTTAGTCCAACCCCCTGATCCAGCAGGACACCTTTACAGAATTAGAGAATCACAGACTTGGAAGGGATCTCAGTGGTCATCTAGTCCAACCCCCTGCTTGAGCAGGAGACCCTTACAGAATCATAGAATGACAGAACTGGACGGGACCTTGGAGGTCATCTAGTCCAATCCCCTGCCGAAGCAGGAGACCATTACAGAATTGGAAGGGACCCTGAGTGGTCATCTAGTCCAACCCCCTGCTCCAGCAGCCTAACAGAATCATAGAATGATAGGGCTGGAAGGGACCTGGGAGGTCATCTAGTCCAACCCCCTGCTCCAGCAGGAGACCTTTACAGAATCATAGAATGACAGGGCCGGAAGGGACCTCGGAGGTCATCTAGTCCAACCCCCTGCCGAAGCAGGAGACCATTACAGAATTACAGAATTGGAAGGGACCCTGAATGGTCATCTAGTCCAACCACCCAGCTCAAGTCGGAGACCCTTCCAGAATCATAGAATGACAGGGTTGGATGGGACCTGGGAGGTCATCTAGTCCAACCCCCTGCTCCAGCAGGAGACCTTTACAGAATCATAGAATGACAGGGCCGGAAGGGACCTCGGAGGTCATCTAGTCCAACCCCCTGCTCAAGCAGGAGACCCTTACAGAATCATAGAATGACAGAGTTGGAAGGGACCCCGGGAGGTCATGTAGTCCAACCAGCCAGCTCAAGCAGGAGACCCTTACAGAATCATAGAATGACAGGGCCGGAAGGGACCTCGGAGGTCATCTAGTCCAACCCCCTGCCAAAGCAGGAGACCATTACAGAATTACAGAATCGGAAGGGATCCCGGGAGGTCATCTAGTCTGCAATCCCAGACGTCCGATTGGGGGATTCCCATAGGGCACTGATCTGTGTTGCCTGTAAGGGTGGGGAACAGCCTTCCCCCCCCCCATCTTGCCACTGGCTCTTTTGCTGACCGTATCTAGGACCTTGTCAAGGGACGCCTGGCCCGGCAGTGCCTTAAGGGCTGTGTGGTCCCTTGGCTGCCCGAGAGGTCAAACAAAATTTCTTTGACACCCCCCACCACCATCCTTTAAAGAGGAGAATTTGGGGAGGGGAGATGACCGAGACCCCCCTCCCAACACTAAAGTAAACCAGACTGCCAAAAAAAAAATTGGGGAGCGTTTGGCTGTCCTTGGCCGGCCCCGAAACCCCCCCTTAGCCTCGGGGGGATGGGGGAATGCCGACTCTTTCTGCAAGGGGGGGAGCAAAAGAGGGGGGGCTTTTTCCGGGGAGACCCGCTGACCTTTGGGGGGTCCACGCCGGTCTTTGCAGCATGGAAGCAGAGACGGCACCAACAGGGGGCCCCAGCCTAGCCAAAGTCTCCATGATAAGCTACTGGAGTTTTTCCCCCCCCCGCACCCCCCCCCAAAATTAATTGGGTTTTCTTGGCCCTAACAGCACCCCAAATTTCCAGCTGCCAGAGGACCCCACGGCCCCCTGCATCCTGGTGGGGCCTGGCACCGGCATCGCCCCTTTTCGGGGTTTCTGGCAGCAACGACAACACCGGATGAAAACCGAAGGTGAGTCCAAGGGGAGGGGGGAGGGCTCCGGCCCCGGGGTGGGGGGCGGAGGGGTGGGGCTGAATGTCAATCAGTCCAGAATAGAGCCGGAAGGGAGCCCGGAGGTCATCTAGTCCGACACCCCCCCACTCCAGCAGGAGACCCTTACAGAATCAATAGAATAACAAAAGTTGGAAGGGACCTCAGAGGTCATCTAGTCCGACCCTCTATTCAAGCAGGAGACTCTTACAGAATCATAGAATGACAGAGATGGAAGGGACCTCGGAGGTCATCTAGTCCGACCCCCTGCTGAAGCAGGAAACCCTTACAGAATAATAGGATAACAGAGTTGAAAGGGGCCTCGGAGGTCATCTAGTCCAACCCCCACTGAAGCAGGAGACCCATACAGAATGATGGGATAACCGTTGGAAGGGATCTCGGAGGCCATCTAGTCCAACCCCCTGCTGAAGCAGGAGACCCGTACAGAATAATGGGATAACCGTTGGAAGGGATCTTGGAGGTCATCTAGTCCAACCCCCTGCTGAAGCAGGTGACCAGTACAGAATAATGGGATAACCATTGGAAGGGATCTTGGAGGTCATCTAGTCCAACCCCCTGCTGAAGCAGGAGACCCTTACAGAATAATGGGATAACAGAGTTGGAAGGGACCTCGGAGGTCATCTAGTCCAACCCCCGCTGAAGCAGGGGACGCTTACAGAATAATGGGATAACCATTGGAAGGGATCTTGGAGGTCATCTAGTCCAACCCCCTGCTGAAGCAGGAGACCCTTACAGAATAATGGGATAACAGAGTTGGAAGGGACCTCGGAGGTCATCTAGTCCAACCCCCTGCTCCAGCAGGAGACCCTTACAGCATTACAGAGTAACAGAGTTGGAAGGGACCTCGGAGGTCATCTAGCCCGACCCCCTGCTCAAGCAGGAGACCCTTACAGAATCACAGAATGATTGGAAGGGAGCTTGTGGTCTACTTTGTTGAATGCCTTACCGAAATCTAAGTATGGTACGTCCACAGCCTTTCGCTGGCCTACTAATTCAATAGGTTGCGGCCTACTTTGTCGAACACCTTACCGATATCTTAGTATGCCACACCTTTTGCTGGCTTACTAATTTAGTAAGTGCGGTCTCCTTTGTCGAACGCCTTGCTGTAAGTCTTACGTTGTCCTTTCCAGGCCTGACCCCCGGCGACATGACCCTTGTTTTTGGCTGCCGCAGTTCCCGCCACGACCACATCTACAGCGAGGAGATCCGAGAGGCGCAGGAGACGGGGGCCCTACGTCGCGTCCTCACCGGCTTCTCGCGGGACCCCGATTACCCCAAGGTAGGCAAGCGGGACCGCTCTCGGCCAGATAAGACCCCCGTCTTACTCCCAGGAAGGGACCTTGGAGGTCTGCTCGCGCCGAAACGCCACCGCAAGGCACAAAAAACGTGTCCTTCGGCGCCAGGGAGAGGGTCTACATCCCAATGGGGCGGTTTGGTGGACACGTCGCCCACTTGCTCTTTCGTTGCTTCCCAGACCTACGTGCAGGACCTGCTGAGGCTGCACCTGGCGGACCACGTCTTCGACGTGCTGAGCCAGCGTGAGGGCCACGTCTACGTCTGTGGCGACGTCACAATGGCCACGGGGGTCCTGCAGACCATCCAGCAGATCTTGGTGCAGGAAGGGAGGATGTCGTTGGTGGAGGCAGGCGACGCCATCAGCGAACTCCGGGTACGCCGGGTCGGGGAGGGGCTGTGGGTCATCCTCGGCTTTTTTTGGGGGGGGTGTCCCTGTTTTCTCGGGGCCCCAACCCGTGTCTCTCGTCCTTCGGTTCCCGCAGGACCAAAACCGCTACCACGAGGACATCTTCGGCCTGACCTTCCGCACACAGGAAGTGGCGTCGCGCATCCGAAGTCTCTCCTTCTCCAAGCACGGCCGGAAAAGCGGCCTCGTGGCGGAGATCTGAGCCCCCCCAAGTGCCTTTACGACCCACCCTCTTCTTGGGACCCCCATTAAAGCCCTTGTCTGGCCCCCTTCGCAGCCGTTCTTCCTTCTGGGGTGGGTGGGATGGCTGGTCGGGGTCTGCGTCCCGGGAAGAGGTTGGTAGTCACTTTGTTACCCACGTGGGGCTCCCAGTGCCCACAGGGAGCCTTGGCACCCCAGAAGGGTCCCCACCACTTCACCCACTGCTTACGACCGCATCGTTTAGCGACCGTTCAAATTTAAAACTCACATTTCCTTCAGAGGCAGTTCTGAACTTCTGCGCCCCCCCTGTGGTTACATGACTACCCTTATAGCTATCTGCAGTGTCCCGTGGTCTCTCGGTTGCATTCCAGGGTTTTGCCAAAAGGTGGCTCCAACTTCCGTGGTTTTTTGGGGGGGGCGGAGGACTGCCCCATAGCGAACAACCGACTCATTTACTGACGGCCACAAAACAAAGCATAACATCAGGTGCGTGGTGCTGTTTGGCGACCATCTCGGCTTTAAGAGCGCAACGGGCAGGGTCTCTTACCGTCGTAAGCGGAGAAGAACCGGGAGTCCCCGACTTACAACCGTTCATTTAGCGACCGTTCAAAGTTACAACGGCAGCAAAAAGTGACATAGGACCGTTTTTCACACTTACGACCGTTGCAGCATCCCATTCTCGCGTGATCAAAATTCAGACGTTTGGCGACTGACTCGTCGTTAACACGGTTGTGGCGTCCCGGGGTCACGCGATCCCCTTTGGTGACCCTCCGACGAGCAAAATCAGCTGGGAAGCCGAATTCACTTAACGACCCATGTCACTAACTAAACTGCAGTGATTCACTTAACAACCAGGGCAAGAAAAGTCCTAAAACGGGGTCAAACCCGCGTCAGAACTGTCTCCACGAGTGAAATTTGGGGCCCCACTGCGGTCGTTAAGTCGAGGACCTGCCTGTATTAAGGTCATAATAACCTCCGTGGCCTGTCGACAGATCCCCTTTTGCGACCGTCTGACGAGCAAAGTCAACGGGGGGGGAGTCGAATCCACTTAACGACCGTGTGAACTAACTTAACTGCCGTGAATCCCTGACCAACAGTGGCGAGAAAAGTCGTAAAAAGCGGGCAAAGCTCACTTGTTTTCCACTGAGCGACATAAATTGCGGTCGTGATTCGAGGACTACCTCGACCCGTTACCCGGGTCCGTTTCCCGCTTTTTTGACAGAGTTAATCCCCCGGGGAACAAACCAGGAAAAGCGAGGGTGGGCGGGTGATCGTGCCCATCCTGGTTCAGGAGAGACTTGCGGGAGGATAGGTGCGGCTGAATGGCGCGCAGAGTCATAGCAGAAAGGAAGGATCTTCGCGGCTTCAAGGGGGACGGACCCTTCCTTTCCAGGATGGGGGGGAGCACCGCTTACCCCCTCTGCAAGATGGGGAGGGGATACAGACCCTCCCCAAGTCCACTCAGCAGTCCTGGCATCCAACCTGTGCCAATCAAAACTCCCGCACCCCATACTGGCACCGTCAAGCCCATAGGCGCCCATCACTTCCCTACCAGCTGAAGGTGGCGGCCCACTCCCCTCGCTTAGCAGTTTGCCTGCCGCCTTTGGCCTCCGGGGACCCCCTCCCCACCGCCTCCTCCCACCCCACCCCCACCCCGACAAAAAGGGGGCGCTTTGCTTCTCATTGCTGTAAACATTTATTGTCCCTAACAAAGTCTCCTGCGATGCAACCGCCACAGCATGCGTGGTGGAGGGGAGGGGAAATAGGAGGAGGGGCAGCCCGGGAGGGCAGGGAAGGGGAGAAAAGCACAGGGCGAGAGCAGAGCCTTACCGAATCCTAGAGTGACAGAGCTGGAAGGGACCTTGGAGGTCCTCTAGTCCAGCCCCCTGCTCGAGCAGGAGACGACCCTTACCGAATCCTAGAATCGCAGAGCTGCAAGGGATCTCGGAGGGCTCCTAGTCCGACATCTCCCACCCCCTTCTCTCTTGACCCCAGAGAGACACCCCCCCAAAATACAAATAGCACCGTGTGGGGCCTGAACCAGCCCCAAAGCTTATTCACCCCCCAAGAAGCGCACACTCCCCCCCCAAAAAAAGGAGGGTCCGGGAAGCCTCGCGGACGAGGCTGCTCGTCACAGGCAAATCCACGGCGAAGGAGGGGCAGCCGTCAATCACTCCTGCCTTGCCGGAGTGGGGGAGACACCCGTCGGCCCCACTTCCGGGCACGTTCTGTCCACCGGGGGATCGTCCGGGAAAGCTGTCCGTGGCAGTGCCAATCCTCCAGAAGCCTGCAGGGCGAAAGGAAGGACTTGGTCAAGGTGTGTGTGTGGGTGTGGGTGTGTAGCAGAAAGGCGCGTCCTTCTTCTCCCACATGCAACCTAATCCCACACGTGCACAAATGGGAGCTTTGCGGGAGGACAACCGGGAGTCCTTGGCTTACAGCCGTTCATTTGGCGACCGTTCAAAGATTCGACGGCCCCAAAACAAGGGACTTTTCCCACGCTTAGGGCCTTTGCCGCGTCCCCGTGGTCATGTGATCAAAATTCAGATGCTTGGCAACTGGCTCACAGTTATGACGTTCGAAGAGTCCTCGACTTACATCCGTTCGTCGAGGGAGCGTTTGAACGGTACTCGACTTACATCCGTTCGTCGAGGGAGCGTTCAAACGGTACTCGACTTACATCCGTTCACTGAGGGACCGTCCGAACAATCCTCAACTTATATCTGTTTGTTGAGGGACCGTCCGAACAGTCCTCGACATACATCCGTTCGTGGAGGAACCGTCCGAACCGTCCTCGACTTACATCCGTTCGTGGAGGAACCATCTGAACAGGACTTACATCCATTCATGGAGAGACCGTCCGAACAGTCCTCGACTTACATCCGTTCGTTGAGGGACTGTTCAAACAGTCCTCGACTTACATCCGTTCGTGGAGGGACCGTTCGAACAGTCGATTTACATCCATTCGTTGAGGGACCGTTCGAACAGTCCTCGACTTCATCCGTCCGTTGAGGGACCGTTCGAACAGTCCTTGACTTACATCCGCTCGTTGAGGGACCGTTCGAACAGTTGACTTACATCTATTTGCGGAGAGACCGTCCGAACGGTCCTCGACTTACATCTGTTCACGGAGGGACTGTTCGAACGGTGCCCGACTTGCATCCGCTCGCCGAGGAACCGTTCGAACGGTCCTCAACTTACATCCGTTCGTGGAGGGACTGTTCGAAAAGTCCTCGACTTACATCCGTTCGTTGAGGGACTGTTCATTGCAGCATCCCCTACGGTCACGTGACCCAAATAGGGATGCTTGGCAAATGACTTGTATTTACGACAGTCGCAGTGTCCCGGGGTGCCGCGATGCGACCGTCTGAGGAGCAACGTCAACAAAGAAAATGCACGGGGTGCTTGCCCGCCTCTTTTGTGGACCGGTACCGTGCCGTGGCCCAGGGATTGGAGACCACTGCTTCACGCTTATCGGCCACTCCCCAAAACCCCCTCCACAAGGGAGAGACCCAGCCCGGGACAGGAACCTGGGCTGCCAACGGGAATGGAGAGGTGAGCGGGAGGCTGCGTATCCCACCCGAGAGTAGGGATGGAGGAGACACCTACACGGAGGAAGGAAGGACGAAAACAGGGCCGGCTCCTGCTAGCTCTTCTCGCGCTGCGGCTGTTGCGTCTCGTCCGATTCCTCTTTGCAAACTTCTAGCGAACAGTCCTGGCCGTGCGTATCGAAGGGATGCCGGGGGGATGCTGTACCAAGAAACAGGGCACAAAAACTTGCACCCCCCTCCCACCACCTGTGTGGCCCTGCAAAGAGGGGGGTTCTGGGCAACCGACACAAAACGTGGGTATAAGGGGTACCCGCTGCCCTGATATTGAATGCGGAGGGATTCGGTCCTTGGGGGGGGAGAGCAGGGGGGAGAGCAGAGGGAAAGGGAAGGTACGCAGTGGGGCGCCCTCCTGCTCTCTGCCCACCCACTCCTTTGGGGCACGGGAGGGGCCGCGAGTGGTACAGTCCTGACCTGTTTGTGCCGAAGGCTGCGGAGCAAAGCGGGTGGACGTTTGTTGCTGGTGAAGCTGGGATGGGCAAGTAGAAAGAAGGGAGGGTGGTTAAAGATGGGCTGTGGGGGGGGGCTTCTGACTGGCCCCTAAGTGCCCTCTCCCTGGTCTCACCTCGTGCATGTAGAGGGCGTGCAAACTCATCTCGGCCAACGCCAACTCGGAGAGCAGAACCGAGCGGCTGAGAGGAGCCGGGCGCGAGGGAGCAGCGCTGCTGTGGGCGACAGGGTAAAACCAGTCAGACCCCCACCCAGCACAGAAATGGGAGGGCTGAGCACCCCCTTCCCTCCCCCCCAGGGAAGGAGCTGACACCCCTTCCCCCCCGCCCAATGTGGGGACTCCCACCCGGACGACTCCCGTGGGGTACCTCTCCTCCAGAAGCGGGCTCTGGCTGTCGGAGACGGGGGTCTGCCCGGGATGGCTCCTGTGCCGGGGCGGCTGGGAAGAGGAGAGGGAGGCTAGGATGCTGGCCGTGCCGCCGGGCTGAGTGAGCAGCCGACACTCTGCGAGGACCGGGTGGGCCAGGACGCTGGCCAGGAGGGCATCCGGCTGCAGAGGAAAGGAACTCAGTCAGCGGCCTCAAGCCCCCACCCCTCAGCGCTCACCCCGACATCCCTCACCCCCTCAGCCCTCACCCCACAGCCCTCATTCCTCTCACACTTCCCCTCAGCCGTCACCCCGTCCTCACCCCCACATCCCTCAGCCATCCAGCCCTCACCCCCACATCCCTCACAACCGCAGCCCTCACCCTCCTCACCCTTCCTCTCAGCCCTCAGCCATCCAGCCTTCACCCCCTCAGCCCTCATCCGCCCAGCTCACTCCATCCCTCAGTGCTCGCTCCGCTAACCGTTCACCCCATCCCTCAGCCCTCACCCCCGCAGCCTCAGCCACCCAACCCTCACCCCCGGAGCACCCCTTTACACTTCCCCTCAGCCCCCATCC